TGTGAACCAATCACCCTACGATCTTTTAGTGGTCGAAGATATTTAGTGATGTTAATAGATGACTATACCAGGAAAACCTGGATCTATTTTTTGAGGAAGAAGCCTGAAGCACTCAACACATTTTGAGCATTAAGGCTGAAGTACAGAAGATGACCAGTCTCAGATAGAGGCAGAGAGTACACCTCAGACGAGTTCAAAAAAATTTGCAAAGATGAAGGAGTGCGGAGATTTGTGACTGCTCCTTACTCACCATAGCAGAGCGAGGTTGCCGAAAGGAAGAACCGAAGTATACTGGATATGCTCTGATCTATGCTTGGAAGTAAGGGAATGCCTAAAGAATTTTGGACAGAAGCCATTAGGTGTGCAATGTACGTGCATAATAGATGTCCGCACTCAATCCTTGAAGGCCAGACACCTTAGGAGGGATAGTGTGGGCAATAGCCTACATGCGCGTGACTAAAGTAGAACAAAGCTGGAGGATAAGAGCAAGAAGATGATCATGGTCGGATATGATGAGAAAACAAAGGGGCGCAGATTGTACAATCCAATTGTGAAAAATATAGTGGTAAGAAGAGATTTGGATGTAAACGAAGCAGGTAGTTAGGATTGGAGAAAAGGAGCTGAGGCCGAGGGCGAGCAGAAACAGACCAAAGTCAGTGCATTATATCGCCAAACTCATCACTGAGTATGTAATATTCGAGGCCGCCTGACCTCACACCCGAGCCAACCTTTGAATACAGTCATGATGAAGACGAGCCTAAAACTCGGAGATATATGAGCTTACAGGATTTGTACGAGTCAACTCCTGAGATGCACATGATATGTCTGCTCGTTGATAGCGCGAACATTACCTTTGAGGAGGTCGAGCGTGATAAGAGATGGAAAAAGCCATGTATGAGGAGATCAGGGCGATCCAGAAAAATCAAACCTGGGAAATGGTTGACCTTTCAAATGGCACATATCGATTGGTGAAAATGGGTATTTAAAAAGAAGTACAATGCAGAGGGCGTCGTGGAGCGCTAAAAAGCTCGCCTGGTTGCAAAAGTCTACAAACAAAAGATAGGAGTGGATTATGATGAGGTCTTTGCGCCAGTAGCACAGATCGACACAATCTGACTACTAATCGCACAAGGTGCACAGAAAAGATGGGCAATTCATCAGATGGATGTAAAATCAACATTTTTAAACGAAACCCTAGAGGAAGAAGTGCATGTGGTACAACCACTTGGCTACGTTGAGATCGGGCAAGAGATAAAAGTGCTAAAATTGAGAAAAGCATTGTAAGGGATGAAACAAGTGCCGCGAGCTTGGAACAACTAGATAGATATACATACTTCAAGAAAAATGGTTTTGTACGGTGTTTATTAGAGCAAGGTCTTTATATAAAGAAGAGAACACTTGGCATCTTATACACAACTTTCTACGTGGATGACCTCATTTTCATGGGAAGCAACACAAATATGATGAGACAGTTCAAAGAAGAGATGAAAACTGAGTTTGAAAAGATGGACCTAGGATTAATGAAATATTTTCTATGACTGGAAGTCGTGCAAGCCGAACAAGGACACTCTCAACCTGGCTATCTAAAAAACAGTCGATTTTGTCACTCTCAACCTGCGAGACCTAGTATGTGGCCACATCATACTGCGTGAGACATGTGGTGTGGCTTAGAAGGTTGATGATTGAACTCGAGCTTGGCAACACGGTGCGAATTAAAACTGGAAAATCGAAAGAGATGGTCGGGTAGAGGAGCGCCCGACCAAAATATTTGTGGATAATAAATCTGCAATTGAGCTAGCAAAGAACCCGGTTCACCATTATAGAAGCAATCACAATGATGTACATTTCCATTTCATACGAGAGCAGATAAAGAAGAAGGAGATGGAGTTGGAGTACATTCGGAGTCGAGAACAAATAGTAGACATATTCACCAAGCCATTGTCGACTGCAATTTTTGAACATGACAAATCTGAGCTCGGACTTTAGGATCGACGAGAATTAAGCTTAAGGGAGGAATTTGTTAGAAATCAATCAATTAATTGATTGATTTCCTTACCGCTTATATTAATATCATTAGGATTGAGATCGTTACGACAAACTCAAAGAGACCAACACTAACAATAACTATCTGTAACAAATCGCACTATCAACCCTACGACTAAACTTAGAAACGATCACCCCTGAAAAAGCAATACAAATAATCGCTAACCACCAAATGGTTGTGACACAACAATCATTGGCCATGTCGATCCTTCTAACGACATAATATCTATCAGAATTACCAATCCTTATTATAGACCTAAAACTAAAGACATCAACAAAAAACAAAGCAACATAAACAAACTTAACGCGAAAGTAAGACCATAAAAATAAAATAATTGACAAATACTCCAAGCTCCTTCCTGGCAGTATTCTTGAAGTATCGTCTTCCAAACCCTAACACCTTGGTTGCTCCAGGGTGGCGGTTCAGGAGGTGAGTGGCCAGCCGATCTGTCTTCTCCCTTCCTCAGAATTTGATCCAGAAATTGCCAGGTGATTTTTCAAACGAAGGTATCAATCATAGACCTTCAGATTCGATCCACAGCAGCACATATAGAAACATCAACCATAGAGAAGCAGACCATGAACAGGCAGAGCGTGTAACGACCTCCCTCCCACTGTCACTTCAAATCATTTTCCGGACAAAAAACAATGCAAGTCGCCTGCCAGAAAGATATACCCTAGACGAAAGCTAGGGAGAAGACCACTTCTACGCTACTTTGAGCGTTAGCACAGAATTGCCGAAATAGTAAGGGCATAGCCAACACTAAGCTCTCCAATTGCCGAAATGTCTCGATCACATTGAAAGGAGCTATTAATTAATTGATTTAATAATCTTAATTTTAGGAATTTTTGAGTTAGCTTAGAATTAAGGTGTATATTGTTTGTGTTTGTAAGCAATTAGGTAACCCAATAAGTTGCCAAATTGCTTATTACATATGCCTATATATATGACTCTACATATTAGTATTTTGCATCCATCCAGTGAGCAATATTAATAATAAGAAGAGTTCTCACCTCTCAATACAAAACGTGTTAGTGCGCGAGTTTTTGTCCGACAAGCCGACGACATCTCCTGTGATATAATAGATTTATTCCTAACGAAAATAATAGATATTAGGTTACAAATGTTGAAATATCAATCACCCACTAGAAGAGTAATTCACATTTTACTCTCATTACAACTCAATATATTTACAACTACGGTGCATAAAAACTAGAAGTTTATATGGTCAATTAAAGTTGCAATATAGATCGTGTTTTACAAGAATAGATTTACAAGTATCGGGAATAGGAATTTATCCGATCTTGTATATATGGTGCGTGTGTGATGTATTAGTCAATATTCAGCGGGGCTTTTCTAGATGAATGCAAGTCATAATGAGTTAATGAGACTTACATGTAATGAAAACTAAACTCTAATCAACATTTACGTTTATCCTGGTGCATTTTTCTTTGTATGATGTATATATATATATATATATATATATATATATATATATATATATATATATATTAATTAACAACTTGGTTTATTAAAAGAAAAGGAATTACAAGAGTAGGAGGACCAAGCCGAAGCCTACTATAAATACAAAGCAACATAAGGGAATCCTATGGCATCATATTTCAGGATATTGGTAAACCGAGTAGTATGAGAGTTATTGCCTTCACTGATGTATCGTGCCGCACTGTTCACTACCTTGTTAATGACTTCAAGAGATATAGATTCCCTAATCAAAATTCTTCGAATACGGGTAATAATGTAGATGTCATCCCAATAACCAACACAATGCGACCTAATTGCTTGGCCAACCTTCTTGTCATCTATTTGGATGTAATCGATCACCCAATTTTTATTGCTGCAAAAAAAGAAAACATATAAGATGTAGCTTATAAGAGCAATTTGTATGATATATATATATATATATATATATATATATATATATATATATATATATATATATAGAGAGAGAGAGAGAGAGAGAGAGAGAGAGAGAGAAGTGATCAGGTCCAGCCGGAGGGACGGGAGGCGCTGCCCGAACTCCGCCGTTTGGGGCGGTTTCCGGTGGAATTTTTTGATGAAATTTTTTAAGCATGTTCTTCATCAAGTCTAGTTTGTTCATACCAAATTTCAGCTCAAAATTCGACCGGGAAGGCATTCAAATCATTTTTTGAAGTTGACTGCGCCAAAATATACATATAAAAATGCAGTCAACTTCAAAAAATGATTTGAATGCCTTCCCGGTCGAATTTTGAGCTGAAATTTGGTATGGACAAACTAGACTTGATGAAGAACATGCTCAAAAAATTCCACCGGGAACCGTCCCAAACGGCGGAGTTCGGACGGCGGCTGGACCGGGGAGGGCTGGACCGGGGAGGGCTGGACCTGATCTTGTTTGTGTATATATATATATATAAAACTAAAAATCTTTGCACTTCACATCATTTTTATACTCGTGTTTTCAAACCACAAACTTTATAAAATAATTGGCCATTACTTGTGGGTCGACCCCGAATACAATAATGGACCATTAATAGGCTATATACACGAAGTTATTTTGCTAAGGTAAAGCTATCTGTTGAAGGTCCTGATCGAGGTGGCCTGGTCGGGGGAGGGAGGGGGGCAGGCCAAGGTGGCTTGTCTTTGAGTGAATTTGGACCGGTATCTGGATTCCTTTATTCCTGGGAAGCTTTCTGTATGGGTGGCCCTCATCTGGCAAAGGGGCCCCAGCCAAGGGACGGAGGAGGACTTCATCATTGTCTTGTATTCTAGTTTGTATATTCATGAGTATCTGGGTCGTGGGGGCCAAGCCCATATACATATACTATTCTCACATGACCACATCCATATAGTCTAATAGTATAACTTGGCTCTTATACATTTTGTAGGGATATTAGATTGTAGTTTAATATTTTCGGTGTACAGATAGTAAACCATAGTAAGAATGGGAAATTTGGATGCAGGTTAGCCAAGCGATGTATGGCGACACGTCTCCGAGATTCTTCATATATTGGACAGTCAGTACTATTCAATTGTCTATTCGTTTAATTAACAATAGTTGAGAAATACTAATACGTATGTAACTATATATGTATCAACTATCATTGTATGCGGTAAATTAATTAAATAAATATTACTGCATATCATACAGGGGGATTCGTATAACAATGGTTGTTACAATTTGGGATGCTCAGGCTTTGTCCAAATTGGAAATAAATATGCTGTTGGGGCAGCCATCACTCCGACCTCAGAGTATAATGGGACACAAAAGGACATCGAGATATATATTTGGAAGGTGCATATCTATATTTAGCAACCCTTATAATTAAATTTATCCCTACCCAGCTCTTTGTTCACCATTTTCCCTCCTTTATATACACCATCACCAAATGATTTGCAAAATCAGTTTTTCCTTAGTTCGTCCCAAAATGGTTTGCAAAACCAATTTTTCTTAATTCGACCCAAAATGATTTGAAAAATCAGTTTTCTTAATTAGCATGGATTGATTTTATTTAGTTTAAGATTTAAATATCGAGTTTTTATTATATTCTATTTTGAGTTGTGCCATTTTGTAAAACTTCAAATGTTATTTTTAAATATGTAAGTTTTAATTATAAATTTGATTTAACTATCTGAAAGAATGGTATAAGTTTCGTACTTTATCATTCAAAAGTGACAAACATATTACATATGTGATTGCATATTTCGCACTAATAAGACAATAAATGAATGTCTAACTTTGTATCTCTCATTTTGCATAGTTCTTTCCTAGTTAATTGATTTTTCATGGAGATTAATAAAAAGGGAAAGGGGTCAAATAGGCCCTTGAACTTATATAAAAAGGTCAAATAAACCTTTATATAGGAGGCTCTATTTGGCCGTCGCCATTTGGGGCAGTTCCCAGTAAAAAAAATTGATGAATTTTTTTGAGCATCTTATTCATTAAGTCTAGTTTACTCATACCAAATTTCAGCTAACAATTCAATCGGGAAGACATTCAAATGAAATCTTGAAGATAACTGCGCTTTTAACCGCGCAGTTATCTTCAAGAATTCATTTGAATGCCTTCCTGATTGAAGTTTTAGCTGAAATTTGGTATGAGTAAATTAGACTTAATGAATAAGATGCTAAAAAAATTCATCAAAAAATTCTACCGGGAACCTCCCCAAATGGCGAAGGCCGGACAGAGCCTCCTATATAAGAGCTTATTTGACCTTTTATGTAAGTTCGATGACCTATCTGACCCTTTTTCCCTAATAAAATAGAGGAGTAAGGAGCACGGTAGGATAAGTAAACATTATTCGTAGAAGTGTAAAACAGAATAAATGAAAAAAAAAAGAATAAATGAAAAATTATAAAAGAGAAAATGGAAAATTAATCAAACTAATTAACTCCAAAATTTGAATTTTTGAATCAAACTTTATTTACTTTGACCATTAATTGTTCAAAAACATATCACTGTATATTATTATAATACTAAAATAATCTAAATACCTCATTTTAATATTATCAAAATGTTATTTTATTACAAATTTTATAAGTTTGTACTGTTATATATTAATGATCAAGTGTCTAGTTATAATTATGTTATATATTTAATTACATCGTTCATGATTAATCCCCTAATCATACTATGTCTAACATCCAAGTGTCTAGATTTGTCATTCTAAACATGATTATATCTTTTAGCCAAAGTGGCAACACTATAACAACGAATAGAAATAGGTGCAATCGGTTTCGCCCACAATGGAATATCAAAAATTAAGGGCCTGTTTACTAACAGAGATATTTTCCTGTTTTCTACTTCTGTTTTTCGTTCTCCAATTTTCTGTTTTTATTTTTCAGTTTTTCTATCTCCAATTTTCTGTTTCTATTTTTTAGTTTTCCATTTTCAAATCTGAAAACATGTTCATCAATTTTTTTACCCAGATCTCCAATTCCACACCCTTGACCCCTACCCTTACCACGATCTTGCACTCTACCCATACTCCCCCACAACCCTTCATACCCACCCATACCTACTCGTAGCGGTCGGGGTAGGGAAGTTATGGGTGGGGTAAGGGGTATGGTCGGGGTGGGGTAAGGGGTATGGTCGGGGGTGGGGTGGTAAGGTCTAGGGGTAGGGGGTTGGGTGGGGTAATGGGTGGGTTAGGGTGGTGGTTAGGGGTAAAGGTAGTGGGTAGGGTTTGGGGTAAGGTAGAGGTAGGGTATGGAGTTGGGATAGGATGGCGGTAGGGTGGGCCGGGATCTGGGTGGGGCCGAGGTAGGGGAAGGGTAGGGTGGGGGGTAGGATGGTGGTAGGATGGCGGAAGTATGGGTGGACTCGAGCCGGTTCGGGCCCGGGTCGGGCCTCCAGTTCAGGAATGGGGGGCCCGGAACAGTGCCGGGCCGGGCCGGTTCTGGGTCGGGCCACCCGGCCCGAGTCCACCCCTAGGCGGAACCGCGGAAGGGTGCTGGTAGGATGGCGGTACGAGGGTGGGGGTAGGATGGCGGTGGGGTGGGGCCGAGGTAGGGGCATGTGGTAGGGGGTGGGGTAGGGTCATTATAGGGAAAAATGGGTATGCGGGGTGGGGTTGGGTGGGTAATAGGGTAGGGGTAAGGGGTAAGGTACGAGGATGGAGGTACCGGAATGGAATCGACATCGGAGCGGGACTGGACCCACCACTAGGTGTACGTATGCAAATTCATTGCAGCGGCACTACTGTAGCATCTGCGTTTTCCAAATTTGGAAAACTAGTAACAGTCACTTCTCCAAATCATTAAGGAAAAGAGAGACATGTCTCATTTTTTCCGTTTTGGAAAACGATTTGGTAAACGCGTTTTTCTTTTTTCCTTTCTCCAGTTTTCCAGGAATTTCTTTGGTAAACACGTTTCCTGTTTTCTGTTTTCCAGTTTTCTGGAAAACTGGAAAATATCTCTATTAGTAAACAGGCCCTAAATTTCTTAATCACTCCGCCTCTTTACCGGCAATAGCCAACACAACAAACTCAGATTACATTGTTGAACTTGTAATACAAGTTTGCTTCTTGAATGCCCAAGAAATGGAACCTCCCCCAAGCAAGAATACTCAACCATTTGTAGAAAAATGATCCTCTACATTGATTATCCCTCTAACACTGAAGCATACTCAAAGTAACACAACTCATACTCCATGGTTCCTTTTAAGTACTTGAACACTTTCTTCATTGCTTGTCAATGTTGAGTACTGAGATTACTAGTATATCGGCTCAACCTATACAGGACATAAGCAATATCGGGTTGAGTGTTTGTCATTGCATACATCAAACAATCAATAGCTTGAGAGTACTCAAGTTGTGATATTGTCTTTCCTTTATTACGCATCAACTTCAACTAGGATCCATGGGAGTACTAACGGGTGAACAATCACTATAATTAAATCTTTAGAGAATATTCTCAACAAATATAGTGAGCTTGTGTCAAAGCAATCCCTTTATTTACCCGTTTGATTCTTATTCCAAGGATCACATCCGCCTCCCCCATATCCTTCATGCATGGAAAACCTTGATGATAACAACCTTTTAGTTTCATCAACCTAATTTTGGTTTGTTCCAAAAATCAGCATGTCATCAACATAGAGACATAGAAACACACCCGCCCCTAAAGCATCAAGTCGGTTATAAACACACTTGTTCCGTTTAGTTGGAAACCTGTTCAAAACATAGCAGGCCGTGAGCATGACCTTTCCCCAAAAATTCTTCACTCAAACCCGAGTTGGAAAGCTTGATGTTGACCATTCCCTTTAAAACTTGATTTTTCCGTTCGGCCACACCATTTTGTTGTGGTGTGTACGGAACCGTAGTTTCATGTATATTTTTAAAGTGTTGAAAATAGTGAGGACCCATATATTCTCCTTCCTGATTAGTCCTAAGACATTTAATTGGATTACCCAATTGCAATTCAACCTTGACTTTATATACTTTAAATTTCTCTAAATCTTCATCCTTAGTGGGTAATAAATACACATAGCAAAACCGAGTTGAATCATCAATACAAGTAACAACATATTTCTTATTGCCAAGGGATGAAGTTAAGTGAAAATCACATAGATCACTATGTACAAGATCCAAAATAGCCAAATTCCTTTCAATATTAGGAAACAATTGTTTTGTGATCTTAGTAAGCATGCAAGTCGTACACTTGTCATTATTAAGCTGGAATTAAAGCATCTTTAGACATTTCATGCATTTTTCTAAAATTGACATGAGGTAATCTAGCATGCCAAATGATACAATCATACATGGAAGATGCCACAAAAAACAGAATAATCTCAAGAAAATTAATTTATTCATAACATTCCAACAAAACATGCGATTTGAAAAATATCCAAAACCAACAAACACATCATGCTTGGACAAAATATACTTATTGGATTCAATCACTTGTTTGAACCCTAAATTAGTCAACATACTCCCCGAAACAAGATTCTTTCGAACCTTCGGTACATACAAAACATCAAATAACATAATTTTTTTCCACAAGTAAATTCTAAAATAACGACATTCTTTCCCAATATTGGCACCATTGACTCGTCTCCCATGCGTTAAAAGGAACTGACCTCTACTTTATCCTTACACACATGGCTCGTAGCCCCCGAGTCACTCCACCATGCACAATCATCATCATAAGGATTCTAGAATGAGTGATACATAATTCTAGACAGAATTGTCAAAGTTAGTCAAGAACTAACCTCCTTTCGGTGAACCTAGGTCCATAGACATTCCTTGTCCACTCTCACTCGTTCCAAAACCATTCTTGTTCAGTTTCACATGGCAATCACGCTTAACATGCCCAACCTTTTGACATCTCCAATAAACCAAACCTTTCAGTATCTTGATGAATTTGTCATGGTCTTCATACTTGCGCTTCTTGCCTTTCCCCTTATTGTTTGGGTTAGATTTCTTCTCCTCAACCATGTGAACATGGGGATGCTCGGATTCAACTTCACCCTTAATTTTGTCATTCGATCTTTTGCGCACGAAGAGACTCCTTAATGCACAAGTGACTCCCAAGTTGAAACAATGACAATTCCTCATTTTGTTGTTTTAAAGTACGTTGAAAATCCTTCCAAGAAGGTGAAAGTTTGTCAATTATACTCGAAACGACATAGGATTCATCATATCTATCTTGTGGAGAGTAATTGACCAAGAACATGAATGAGTTCATTGTACTGTTCCATAACCGGCCTTGAGTCAAGCATTTTATAATTATTAAAATCACTCAAACTTCTTACTAGAAACATCTTCGGTGATGTATTTTGAATCAAGAGAATTCCACAATTCCTCCGCATTCTCAACATTTTGGTATATATCAAATAGCACATTAGACATACCGTTAAGAATCTGGCCTCTACATATGTAGTCATCGTTCTCCCACTTGTTACGCCTCCTAATTTGATCAAATGTTTCATTTTCTATCACTTCCGGCATCGAAGTGCTCAATACGTACACAACCTTCAAGGTCATGAGAAGGAAGTGCATCTTCTTCTGCCATGAATCTACGGAAATCATTCCCTTGAAACTTCTCCAGTTTGCTGAACTTGGATGCCATCTCTTACATGGTACTTATGATTATCACAAAGAAAATATCAATTCGATTGTTGGGGTCATCGTATAAGGGGTGATAATCGAGTACTTAGATTGCTTAAGGATCATGCTAGTTCACTTTTTTGAATTGATATTTCTCCCTATGCCCGGATTACAAGAAATTCAATATAAGATAATCCTTAATGACACTCAAGAATCTAGGCACAAATTCAATAGCACAAACTAGTGAATATATGTATTGTTTTCTTTAATTTGAATGCCAAAGTGATGAAGATATGTTCTGTCTCTTGTCTTATCCTCCTATATACGAAATATGGAGATATATATCCATTTGAACCGTTGTATGCAATGAAAACCTGTTTGGGAATAATCGTGGAAAATTCTGGAAACTGCACAAAACTGCGTTAACCGCTCTAGACCTCGGTCTAGAACCACATAGTTGGGTCTACTGAGATTTCTACATTGAGTTCTACCTCGAGTTTCACCGTCGTAGATACTTTGGGATAAAACTTGTTCTTATATACAAGTGTGCACTCCGCACCTACTAACTTATATTTATATCACAGTTCTAATCCCCGTTGGCACTCATGTCATTTGCAATTACACAAAATGGCCGGTGACACTAAAATCACCAACACAAAATTTATTCTTCAAAACGTCTTTTTATATACAGAGTAATTTATACAACCTTTTTATTTCATGTTAAAATATCCTTTTATATTCTTTCGTTGTCGTAAAACTTGATCAAATATGTTGTGCACATGGATTAAGGAAGTAAAAATTATGTTATTGAGATTTTTGCAGAGCTTCAAAAAATTATTTCAATCACATAAATACTCCCTCCGTTCTCTAATAGATGGGAGTATAGCCTTTGACACAAGATTTAAGAAGAAATTAATAGGGGTAGGATAAAAGGTGTAGTGGGTTGGGGGTAAAGGAAAAAGTAGGAAAGAAAATGGAAAAGTAGGAAAGAGAATGAGAGTATATAGGTATATTTATTGAAAAAACTTTCTAAAAATGGAAAGAGAGACATGTATTAGAGAACATCCCAAAATGGAAAGAGAGACATGTATTAGAGAAGGGAGGGAGTAGTATTTATTACTCCATATGAAAAAGCCTGGGTTGAAGAGAGCAATATACTCTATACAAATGGTTGTGTTACTTGTGTGTGATATGGGGGCACAATGAACCCTTCATATCTCCGATCAGACTGTTTTTTTTATTTATCGATGTTAGAATTTCACATGATCGAATGATTTCACCCTATTATCTCATTCGCTGGAACAAACCAATATTGAAGTTTGTATACTCATTGTAGAGACTTATACACATTTAATTGTTCATTAGTGCTTAATAATTGACTCTCATGTTATATTAATTTCAGAACTAGATTTAGAAGGGCAAGTTTATATGACGAGTATTACTAGCCCCATATTTTATACTCCAGAACTTGGTATGTTATTAGTTCATAACTTCGTATTTGGCATGGGGATGACTTAACACTGTTGTCATTCGTTGGTTCGAGGCCTCGAGAGGGCGTAAATTATATGGTACACCCGGTTGTACCGTCCTCACGGTACAGCCGGGCATTTTTTGTTAAGCTTCGCACCTACCACCTCGCTATCTTCCCGTCTTTTGGTTATGTGAGCAGCGATTTCCCCTGCAGACTCATCTCTTCTTTTGGAGGCCCGTAGTTCAGGAATTCTGCTAACCTCAACTCCTGGATTTTTTCTCCACTATCCCATCATATATCAATTCGAGTCTGAGCTTTTCTCATTTGAAATCAATTTCATCACAATCTTAATTACATACACCACAACTCAATTTAATCACCCTATAGCCACTAACGACCTCCAGACTCTAGCCACAGTCCACAAGCTTCAATTCGGAGATGAGATGGTGATTTCCGGGGAGTCTACGCCCCTGGACATAGATTTCATTGTAGATATATATACTTCGTATATAGTTTTATTGATTTGAGCCTACTAGAGATTTTTTTCTCTTCTAAAAAATGAATTTTTTGAATTTTTCGATACTTATTTTGTAAGTATGTATGCTCATTTTATCTTGTTGTAATACTCGTGTTGTAAGTTACTTATGCTCATTTGACATTGGTATAATACTCATTTTAAAATGAGCATATTCATGCATATTGGTATAATATTCATTTTAGTTTTTTCGATTCTCATTTCATGGGTTATGCATTCTCATTTACTATTTGAGCATACTAGAGATTTTAAATGAGTTTTTTGAATTTTTATGATACTCATTTTGTAAGTATATATGCTCATTTTATCTTGGTGTAATACTCATGTTGTAAGTTACCTATGCTTATTTGATACTGATCTTATGCTCATTTTCTAAATGTCATATATATCAATGCATTTTTTAAAAGTGTTATTTTATGATATGACTCCTAATACTCAACATAATAGGTTGGATGCTCATTAAACGTTCATTATTGCTCATTCACAAGAAACTATGATTTTCATCTCAATAGCAGATGTTTGATGCTCAATTAAAATGTCGTGATGTTCAACTAACAAACCTTATGATAAAAAAAATAATAAAAAGAAAGTGAATTAAAAGTTATGAAGCAGAGATCACGATTCTGAATATTAGATTCCTAATACTCAACAGAATAGGTCTGTTGCTCATTAAAGGTTCACTATTACTTATTCTCCAGAAGTCTTGATTTTCATCTCAATAGTGGAGGTTTGATGCTCAATTAAAATGTCATGATATTCAACTAACAAACCTTACAATTTTCATATCAATGTGCACTTTGTAAGTTATGTATGCTCATTTCATATTGATGTTATGCTCATTTATAAAATGTCATATCAATGCATATTTCAAAAGTATAATATTACCTTAGACTCGCATATTGAAATTCATGGAGTGAATTTTAGATATAAGTTAATACGTTTTTATAGCAGAAAAAAAATTAGAAGATATGAAGCAGAGATCGTGATACTCATTATTAGCCTCATAATACTCAATACAATATGTGAGATGCTCAACAAAACTACATTATTACTCATTTAGCGGGAGCCATGATTTTTTGCTTAAATTACAAAACTGCCACCGAAAAAATAGGCTGTTTTAATTAAATGGACTATCTTTCTTAATTGGGCCTTTTTTGTGGGCCTTCCGTTGGATTCATTTAATCCTATTCAAATTGGTTATTAAAATTGGACTGAAACTTTAAAAAATTAAAAGAAAAACCCGGATGTACGGTTCTCACCCGTACACCCGGGTGTACCATATACGTACTCTCGAGAGGGAGGTACCCAAAATCAAATAATTCCTCCAAATAAAGAGAGTTAATAACACCTAAATGTGGTGTTAATGGATATCTATATATACAAACATAATTGCCACAGATCAAAGAGAAAAAAACCATCAACTATATGAAAATTTCTATTGATACACAAAATATGTACACATTTGGCACATTCTCTTGTTTACACAGACATCATATTTAGGAAAAACAACAATCATCTGTACACATGCGAGTTTAAAATCTTTACAAAATGTGTACAATCCTAATTGACTGTGTATATATGTACACAAGCAACTTGTTTAAAAAAGACACCACTTGTCTGTGTACACGGGAGACTGTGTCGAATGTGTACATTGTTTGTGTATGCCAAGAATGGTTGTAATATATACATAGTATATTACAGGATTCTAATCTTGGGCGTTGGTGGCTAGCGATTGGAGCCAGTGAATATGTGCTTGGTTACTGGCCAGCTTCCTTGTTTTCTCATCTTAACGGCACATCTGGAGCAAGCATGCTGCAGTTTGGTGGAGAAGTAGTCAACAGTAAAACGAATGGTCAACACACTACCACCCAGATGGGGAGTGGGCATTTTGCTCGAGAGCGCTTTGGGAAGGCTGCTTATTTTCGAAATCTGCAAATGGTTGATAGCAATAACAAAATTATTCCCTTATCAAACCTTCAAGTTAGGGAAGATAGTCCTGGGTGCTACAATATATCATTACAGCCTTACCAGCCTGTTTGGGGATGCTATTTTTATTATGGAGGCCCCGGAAGAAATCCGCAGTCTTGTCCCTGAAAGAGCCTCTTTATAAGTTGGAGTATATATAAGCTATGCGAACTTATGTTAGACAAAAACTTCTTTGATCAAACATGGTTTAGCAGAATAACATACATTTACATCATCAGAATTCTCTACACGCACTATATTATACCGTGAATGAAATGAAGGTTGTATGAATATAATCAAATTGATCATGTATATGTAGGGAATTGTGTCACGGAATTGGTCATAGATAATTCCATAACAAACATTTATGGTACAACTTTTGTCAACAAAATCGGTGGGGAGCACATTTATTTTGCGTTGTCACAGAATTATCATCAACTTTTATGTGACAAAACCTATACGTACAACCATGTATTTTAATGTTTGTATTGTGAAAGTATATACTAGTATATGCAATAACTGTGACATATCAAAAAACATGAAACGTTGTTTAATTTTATTATCTTTTTATAAAAATGAAAAAGTTAAATAATTAAGGACTCCAAAAAGTGACACTCCTGAAGGAGAAATGTAGCAAAACGTAGATGTATTTAGATTTGACGCCCTAACTATATCTCTCCGATCCCTGTTGACAATTTTGAAAGCATTATCAAATCAGGAGCGAGATAGTGTCACGAAGGAAATGTCTCGATTTCAATTTCAAGTAATAATTTGGGATGAATATATACTTCTTTCCATTAGAGTATGATGACTCCGAGTGGGTTTTTCAAAAGCATTATCAATGCGACACATACGATTCCAGGGTTCTCTTTCTATGTAATGAAGGGTCCGGATTATATCTCTCATTAGCAAGTACCGCACGCTTGCGACCTAAAACGTGTTGAAACGAGTCAAAAAGCTATGGCGCAAGTAGTGATCGAGGACCTAAATGAGTCAATAATTGAGTATTAAACCAATTAAATGTTGAGTTGTTCTGAAAAGTGTGTTTTGAGATACTCGTAGGCTGATTCAAGCCCATCATAAAAAATGGCAAGTATATGAAAAGTGGGAAATTAGAAGTAAAATTATTAATATACAAATGGATAATAAAGACCATAAATGTATATGGGCAATCGACAGGGGTCTTCTCCTCAAAGGCTGATCTCTTGAAGGCGGCCACGACATTTGGAGAGCGTTGATTACGAAGGGCAGTAAGATTGAATTCTCAAAGACTACAGGAGTTCTCTTTCGGTGGACACTTTCAATTCGTTAGTTTACTGTTAACAAAGGAAAGGCAGTCAAAATGGTTGATGTCAACCAAAAGGAGGAGATAAACAAGTTAGCAAACGCGTATGGCAGATTGGAGATGGAGGAGGAAGATGATGTCCTACACATGGTGGCTAAAGCTCCGGGGGTTGAGGAGGTAGGGTTGTCCTTGGTTGGAACAGTCACTTCTGAAAAGTCGGTACGTTTCTCTTTTTTTCGTGACACTATGGCCAATGTATGGAAGCCTGTTAGAGGTGTTAGTATTACTGAGATAGGTGCACAAAGGTACATGTTTCAATTTTACAATGAAAATGATATGACTCGTGTTTTGGAGGAAGGGCCGTGAACTTTCGATCAAAATCTCATTGTGCTTGCTAGGTTAAAGCAAGGTGATTTGCCGTTGAAGGTACCACTGAATAAGGCTGACTTCTGGTTACAGATTCATGATGTGCCAATGGGTTTCTTTTATGTGGAAAATGCTATAAAAATTGGGAATTTTGCAGGGAGTTTTATCAAGGTGAATGAACAAAATTTCTCTGTTGGATGGAACCCCTATATGAGGCTAAGGATTAGCATTGACTCGAACGACCTTTGAAGAGGAAACTGATGGACAGGCTACTCGGGGGGTATCTTATCCGAAGGGTTATTGCGGGAATAACTAGAGAGAAGTCAGAGTAAATTGGAGGAGAGAGAGTCGATTTTATTAAATGAACTCGAGATGTGGAGATGGATGTGGATGTCTCCCTTTACAAGGAGAAATGGGCTGCTATTTATAGCAGCAATAAATGCGATGAGAGTACACGTGTCAGTAATCCAATGACCGAGGGGTCACATCAGCCGGGTGGCACCGGCAGTGGTACGTTCACCGCATTGACTGCGGTTGGCGGATGTGACGTGGCATTAAATGCGGTGGTTGGCTGTCCCCAAAAGGAATCTTCGATGATTGAGCACGTTTGGCCGGAGGCTCCTTGTGTAGCCGAGGGCTCCATGTGACCAAGGACCCCGGTGTAGCCGAAGGCCCTGTGTGACCGAAGGCTACGTTCAGCCGAAGCCCTCTGATGCCGAGGGCTTAATAATGCCGAAGGCTCGGGTTTTTCGCCGTTTCTCCCAGTGGTTTCTTATGCCAGAGAAAGCTATCCTGTGAGTTTTGGAGCCTTCGGCCAAGGAAGCCGAAGGCACCCCCCGTGTGTATTCTGGGCTACTTTGAGGCTTGGGCCGTTGCATTTGGGCCTGAGTTGTTCTCTGGGCTCAATGGACTTGTGTAGGAGAAGTAGGAGTCTATGGGCCGGGGGTTCCTGGGCCATATACTCCATCAGAAACTTTTTCTTCAATCAGATGAAGGGGAAAGCTTTTGTGTTAAGTTTAGGTATGAAAAACCGCCTAGTTTTTACTTCGCCTGTGGAATTATAGGTCATGCAGAACGATTCTGCCCATGCTACCCTGGTGGAAAAGGCAAAAGTGGAGACTTTCTCTATGGACCCGAGTTGAGATCTTCAAAAGGAAATGCCAAACTGGGAGGCAACTAATGGATGATCCCAGTTGGTAAAGGGAAAGGAAAAGAAGAAGAGGGGGAAATAGGGATGGCAAGCTCGGATGCAGATGGAAGACCACAACAGGGGAAGGATCATGCTCATAATGGAGATAAGGTGGATCAGAACTGTAGACGTAGATCATGGGGAACAAGAGGCAGCACAAAAGGATATGGACGTGGAGACAAGCATACAAAAAATGGGGAGGGAGCGGGCTACAACGCCCGCCTGCTAGGCAATTAGAAGATGCGCCGGGAGATGCACAAGGGATGGAAGCTTACAAAATCCATCACCTGGAATTTTATTTTTGTTGCTATGTTTTTCTTTTTCAGAACTCGGTTGTTTCTTTCTTTCTTATTTTTACTTACAATAAGGGTGTGGGGGTCGTGGGGTTTTGGTTTGTGAGTAGATTTTTTTAGTGATGGAGGCAATCAGGCTGTCACCGCCGCTAATAGCCTCTTAGCTCTCACCGTTTCAGCGATTAGTCTCGCTCTTTTTGGGGTGGACTATTCTATGTCTGGGCATGATGTGAGGGGGCCGATGGGTTGTGGATCTAGTGGGAGTTGTTGGTCTGGGGTCTTGTTTGATGTAATGGCTCGTTTGATTGATTGATTCTAATATAAGCATTTTCCTCTAAAAAAAAAATATTTTTTTGAATAATTATTATGAAAAATGAAAAGTGTAATCACTTTATGAATCCTAATATCTCAAATCACTTTAAAGTTTAAACATTTATGAAAAGTGAAACATGAAATTTGGAAAAATGAAACAAATGCAAAAAACATAAATTTGTAAATCAATTAGAAAAAAGAGATTTAGTAAAAAACTGAAATATATGAAACTTACTAAAACATCAAGAGTTGAAGATGGGATTAATTAAAAGAGAGTGAATATAATTGACATGGTTTGTTGACTACATTTAATTTCCATTGGATATAAAATTGTTATAGCATGATACAATAAGGTTAGAAACAATTTGTAGACGGGCCTGGGCTTGATATCGTGCTACTACTAGAATATTAAAAAGACATTGTGACAAAAATATTATCTAAGAGTTTGTAACGGACAAATATAGGATTAAATTTCTATTTCTATCTAGACAAAATAGAGACAACACTTAACTGAAAAGGCGAGAAAGGCAGATGTTTTCTTTTTGTACTGTTTTCAGACCATATCAGATCAGACTTAGATATACCTGATTTGGACAGTTATAAAATACAGAGACCAGACATTTACCAGTCTAGACAAGATCAGATCAGAAGAGACAAGAGACCAGACATTTACCAGTCTAGACCAGATCAGATCAGAAGAGACCAGATCAGCAAATTTCGGTCCAAGAAAAACATCCTAAAACCTAACACGATCGGCTTCTCGCCCATGTCTATCTCGCATAGCGCTAGCCGCTGCCCTCGATTACGTCTCCACCCCTCGACGCCACCAAATGCATCGTCGTCGATGTCGGTTGTGTGATGATGTGTTGTCATCGTGGACCAACTTTGTCGTTCATCTTCTTCTCTTGCTCGTACACTTAGAGGTGGCAAATCAGAAATGGCAATTGTGACTGGACTGCGGATAAAATGGAAGCGTATACCATACAGCCGCCTGTACAGCTGGCACCGTACAGCCGGTGGCAATTGTGTAATTTTCATGAAGTTCGTGGTTTCTCGTAAATGAGCATTGATGTAATTTTGATGAGCATCGAGTCTGTTCTTCTAAGTATTAAAAGCCTAACAATGAGCACCAGTGATCTCTGCTTCATATTTTCTAATTCGGTTTCTTTTTATGATTTTTTCATTTATAAAAATTATAAATCTTAAATTATGTTTATAATTAATTTCAATATGTGAATCTAATGTAGTATGATATGTTTGATATGTGCATCATTTTAAAATGAGCATAAAGCAGTACCAAATGAGCATACATAATTTATAAAATGAGTATCAAAAAAATTCAAAACTTTGTTTGTGTATGCTCATTGATTTTGGGCGTTATGTTTGATATGTGCATCATTTTAAAATGAGCATACATAATTTACAAAATGAGTATCAAAATATTAAAAACTCATTTTTGTGTGTTCATTCATTTTGGGCATAATACTCATTTGAATTTAACTTAAAACTCATTTTGAAATATGCATGAATATGACATTTTAAAAAGAGTATTGTACTAATATCAAATGAGTATACATAAATTACGAAATGAGCGTTCAAAAAACTCATTTGAGTATGCTCATTCATTTTGGGTGTTATACTCATTTCAATTTTACATGAAACTCATTTTCAATGTGTTCAATATTAGTTTGTGTGAGTTCATTTCTTTTAGGCGTATACTCATTTCTTTTAAGCTCATTTAAAATCACCACCATGCT